CAATCACCTGTACAAATGGCCACCTGTATAAGACAATCACCTGTACAAACGGCCACCTGTATAAGACAATCACCTGTGCAAACGACCACCTGTATTTATAAGACAATCACCTGTGCAAACAGCCACTTCCCATTTCCCAACCTAGATGGTTTTTTATACAATATAATGTCAAAGTGTAAGACGTCCACTTCTCTAAGATGGCTACTCCCCCCCCCAACAATGGGTAGTCCTTTTCCACACACCACGGACAGTATCTGCCCTGAGTTTTACATTTAGGCCCGTAATGTCACTGTGTAAGTAAGACGTCCACTTCTATAAAGATGACCACTTTTCTCCCCGACAATGGGTGGCCGTCTCACACACATCACAGACTGTATAAATAAGTGGATTATCTACCTTGAGTCTTATACTTGGTCTGATAGCCGTATCTCCGGGGCCCGGGGTTTTTGTACGGGCTGGGTGAGGCGTACGCAGAGGCTTTGTCCTCTTGGCTCTCCAGTTTGTATGTGGCCAGACTGTGGTCAGATTTAGACGCACCGTACCCGCTACCGCTGCTGCTGCTGCTGCTGCTTCTGCTCAGGAAAGTCTGTCAAAATATCAACAAAAACGACATGTGTAAAGAATGAGTTTTAATTTTAGTACCAATTAATGGCACTTGCAACACAATTAGGTCGTAAAGTGCTGAAGATTAGAAGTGTTACAAGAGAGTAACATGCAAAGAGAAGAAGAAGGAGAGATAACAATGATAGAGATGTAAAGTTTGATAGGAAAGAAGGAGCAAACCACACCAGAGCATCCATCAACCACCCACTAAAAATAATAAACAAGACGAGGACCTTCATTGAACAGTTACTGGGAGAGAAAAGTGAAACAGCAATATAATATCAATTTATATTATAGTCAAAATAATGAAATAAAGAAACTGACATATAATATATGGGTGACCTTATTTAGGCCACACTGTGGCCTAAATAAGCTAAACCCCCCTCCCTTACCTTATTTAGGCCACACTGAGGCCCAAATAAGCTAAACCCCCCTCCCTTACCTTATTTAGGCCATATGTGGCCTAAATAAGCACTCCCATAATATATATATATATATCCTTCCGCTGGGCAAATTTTATAGAAGTTTGGATTTTGAGCTTCACATCTTTTATTTTTATTTCCATTTATAAAAATAGACATTTCTAAGTGGATTTCAGGGACACTTAAACTTTCGAAATCACCAAACTTTGTCCGAAATGTTCTCCTCAATTTTATCTTTGACATTAAGCAACTCCCACCTCCTTTAAACTCACCAACATCTCGACTTCTGATCAAGGTATATGGGTTTTCTTTTCAACAAAAGCAAGGAAAATGAATAGGCTTTGGTCAATACCGCCATAAATGCAAAAAAATGACACAATTTTATAGGCAATAGCCCGTCAGCATTTAGCGTTTATAAATTCTCGGCAACATCCACCTACCAGACATTTCGAGCGACTGAAGGCCCAAGTTGTGGACATCATTGAGGACAGTCGTGAAGGCAACATCTTGATCTGCCCTGCAACGTTAGGAATGAGAGAAAAGTGATTAATAAAAACTGACAGTTTTAAACTGGCGCTGCAGTCTGTTTTGAAGCTCTCTTTCGTTTCTCCAGAAGAAAAATAGGTATAGGAATAGACCTCCTTGTGTGCGCAGATCGACTACTGTTCATCAGCTGTTCAGGTTCGTTCAGTGCAGTTTTAGTTTTTTAAATTTTAATCACCTCTCGCATTTCATTCAAAGTCAAATTAAACGAAGAAAACAGTCACCCCTTCCTCCGGAAAAGGTTTATTGTAATCATAAAGTGTTCTTTCCGAAATTTGAATTCTTATTTATAATATTATTCAAAAACTTGTTAGTTTCACTTTGATTCTTTAAACACAAGTAGGGTAACTCTGTTCACAAAGCATGCGGTAAGATTGAAAAATACTGGACCAGCGGACTGACTTTGCCTCTATGTCTCAACCTTGGGAATTCATGATTTCCCCCAGTTTTTAATATCAATGGAGAATCTCGGACCGGTAGATCTATTCATTAAAATTTTGTCAGGGGCCCCCCTGACCCCCTCCTCCACCCCAACCACCCACCCCACATTCTCGCGCAATAATACGAGTGGTCCGGTATTCTTCAATCTTCCCAAGCGTACACGCATGCATGCGAAGAGGGCGCCACCGAATTTGGAAGGACACTTTTTTAATAGAGGCTCAAAGAGAGGAGTGGACCATCTTGTTAAATGTTAGACAGTAATTAGTAACAGACTCTTACTTTGGGTAGCGAGTTGCGAACGAATCTTCAAATAATAGCGGACAGCTCGTTACCCGTCCGCTCGTTTGCGAGTAGTTCGTTACTTGCGGACGCTAATTTTGCGAGCCCGACCAAACTCTTTTAGTTTAGTTTTAGTATGAGTTTTACGGCACTCGCAACTGCATAAGGTCATAGTCATATGATGAGCGCCAGAAGATTAGAGATGTTACAAGAGAGTTATAAAAGACTAAAAGCTTCTCAGAAGGCAGTCTAAGGAGAGTACTTAACAAACATAAAAAAGAAGAAGGGAAGATATAAGTACGATAGATGTTTGATAGGAAAGAAGGAGCAAACCACACCAGAGCACCCGCCAACCAACCACTACCCAACTCAAATACACAAGCAGTTGCTTACTTTAACACAGACTCCACAAAAAGGCTAGATCTAGAAGACTAAACCTTCCTCCAACGACCATGCCAAAGAGAAAGTCAGAGGTCAACAACAGCCATCTTGTACAACTTCTGTGGTTTTCACACGCCAGAGAGCGTTCTTACGTTTATTCGCACGGCTTTGCGAGGTAAGATCTTTTCTCCTGGGGGCACTCGCCGTACAGAGGGATAAACAAAAACCTTGATAAAATTACAATTGTCTCAAAATAGAACTTCTGAACCCAACCGCTAACAGAAACGCTATATAAGTACCAGGTTTAACAATTATTTAAGTTTTCGTCTAAGCAGAATATATGGTTCGATACAGAGATACAGAGATCTTCTATATATTCAATGGCACGTTAGAGAAAAGGGAAGCAATCCATGTAAACCGGAGTAGGATTCTGCATTGTTGAATTACCTCTCATCCTCTAGTCTCTCTCTTTCCTGAGCGTACTCCGTGGTATCGAATTTAAA